GACAATTACTTGGTTAAAAAACTTCATAATAATACAATAAAATACAAAAAAATAGAAACGATAAAACTAATGGTAAACAAATGATAAAGTAAATAATAATTATAGTTTTCTTCGCTTTGATGATCGCGCTGGTATACTTGATGCTGGTGCAGAACGTTTAGAATTGTTTTTCGTTGGTGCTGTTATTGATGTACTACTTGTGGATGGAGATGGTGCAGCTATAGGATTCGTTAATTAAAAGCAGTTTAGCATATTTAACAAAATTATTAGAAATAAAACAAGATCAGCAAGAATCCATCAAGAATAATGACAATAATAATAGTAATGAACAAACATTGCCATATGAAATTATAAATAATAATTCAATGTTAAGATCATTATTTTCTTGGTACGAACAAAATGAAAATATGAGTAATAGCAATAGCAATGACAAACAAATATTTTTGTCATCATTTATTGATAATATAACGAAGAACCTTTCAAAACCAAAACATAATTATCGATACAACGCATTTATTAACGTTTTGCTGTAGCATTATTCATATTAGGTGGTAAATTAACATATGAATTTGTTAGAATGAATTTGATTGCTGCATTACCAGCTATTCCAACGTTAAATAATTTGATATTAAATGCAAATCTTAGAGTAGCAGAAGCAGAATTTAGATTTGATGCATTACAACAACATTTATTATCAATTCATACAAAACTTGGTTTTGTATCAGAAGATTGCACCGGTGTTATAAGAAAAATAAAATATGATGTAACAACTAATTCATTTGTCGGTTTTGCAACACCACTCGCTAATGGAGTCCCAATTGCTCAATTTTATCAAACAGATTCTTACGAACAACTAAAATCATGGTTCGATACAATTGATAAAGCACCATTATTAAACGTACATATGTTTCAACCATTACCATCCAATAATACAGAGTTAGTTCATCAACTTCATTTTTCAATAATGTTTTTCGAGTTTATGGGCAAAGTTAAGAATAAAAATTTTAAAACCAATGCGGCTATCATGTTAAGAATTTTAATAAAAAAGTTTTAATTAAAACTTTTTTATTAAAATTCTATTAAACGGCGTGGCCAGCTAACGGTCCCCTTCACATCAGAAGGTTCGACTACAAAAATAAAGAAAACTGATTCGGCCATTTTAAAGAGCATGGTCGATAGTATATAGGACAAATGTCGAGCTTGTCTGAA